TAAACCCTAAACCCTAAACCCTAAACCCTAAAACCCTAAAACCCTAAACCCTAAACCCTAAACCCTAAACCCTAAACCCTAAACCCTAAACCCTAAACCCTAAAACCCTAAACCCTAAACCCTAAAATTAGGTTTAGATGAAGATTAATCGGTAAGGCATCCTGGACTGCCAAAATCCATCTCATATGAACTATTTTAACTAATCGACAGTCCTTGATCGATCTCTTATAAGATGAACGGTTATCATCAAACTGAAGCCGGAAGCGTTCTCCTTTTACTGGGCTTCCGTTCGGCCCATTCAACCGGTATCTCCAGCCCAATAACTGTGTGAGAGCCCTTCTTCTGAAGACGCGCGCTTCATTTAGAATTCTTTAGAACGTCTCTCGAGCCCAGAAAACCCCAGTGGCCGGGAAGGCGACCACCCTGGAATGTAGGGGACGAAGAAACCCCCCTCGGAGGAAATCCTAATGCTCGTCTTCTCTCGCCTTACTACCTCGACCTCCTCGTCCTCCTTCGCAACCCTAAGAAGGATGCCTCCTTCCTTGCCGAGATGGCCGTCTTCCTCCGAAGCGCCCCCGCCGCCGCCTTGCAGCCCTCTTTCGAGTACGCTCTCTCCTCACATCCCCGACAGCTTGTCCTTCTTATGACTCAGTGCGCCCTTGTCTCGTGTTTTGACTTTTGGGTCCAAGAACTTGGGTCGGAGATTGATGTTCTTCTTGATCGCTTATTTGATCGGGTTGTTTTCTATTGTTTGCCCAGTTATACCTTGTTCCCTTTTCTCCTTTTGCTGGATGCCGCGGTGCAATGTAGAGAAGAGAAGAAGTTTGACTCGGATGGGGGTTTTGGGAATGGCGGTAACTCATTAGGTGGGCATGCGATCAGTGATTCTGTGGCAGAAGGGATGCTAATGTGCCTATATTTTCGTCTTTTGTTCTTAGTTGCATACATAGAGTCCTTTTGTTTTATTTTTTTTGTTTTCATGCAATTTATGCCCCTATAAATTTGTAATCTAGCAATTAGGCATACATTTCTTTTGAAAATTCTTTTCTTATAGCTAATTTGCATTGGACCATTATGTAGCTTTCATATTTTTTAAATTGAATGAACCAAATGGTTGTGACCACCAAAACTATACACACTAATCTTTTTCAGCTTTGCAACTTGATGTTAGTGTTGTTAGTTCCGTTAAAATTTGAATTGAAATAACCTAAAAATGTAATGTTTCAGATGGTTGTGGTGCTAAAGAAAATTACCACTGGAGCTATGCTTTCACATTCTGTGGCATTGGAAGAATTTCGTGAAGGAATAATAAGATGCTTTAGGGTGATGCTTCTCAATTTACAACCTTGCTCTGTTAGTTCGTGTTCATGCAAACAAAGGGTTATCATGCCTACATCCAAATCTATTGATGGTGCTTTTGTGCATCATAATACTCTCTCAAGGGATTGTGTTGAATCACTAGAATGTTTGCTAGCATTTCTCCAATCTCAAAATGCTTCAGCTGCAGTAGGGCATTGGCTATCACTTCTTCTCCAAGTAAGTCGTACGTGCTTTGTTTTTACTCATTTTATTTTATTGTTTCATTGTTTTGGTAGTCTAATTTCAGTTACTTATCTGTGTCACTCTCCGGAGCTGTTTGTTTTAGTTATTTTGATGTAAATAAATGTCCAAAATAATTTCTCTTGTTCTCTTAAAGGCTGCTGAACTTGAGGCACTGAGAGGACACTGTGGAAGTGCAAATCTCCGGAAAGAGGCATTTCTGACCCTTCGAGTCCTTGTTGCCAAGGTATCATGAATATTGATCTCCTATAATATCCTACAAGTGATATTCAAGTTATATATGTTCACGTATATAAATTCTTTGTCACACGTTGTATACTTAATTATGAAGTTTTCACAACCTCTCAAGGCTCAGGTTTGAGAAGACCTAGGTGTTGCTGTAGAGTGTAGACTTTGTGGAATATGAAACATAAGTTACGATGGTTTTGTTTGACATATGAACTGTTTTAAATTTGACACTTTTGAGTTGGATACATGTAGAGGCATGTATTAAATTTGACATATGAACTGTTTTAAGCTCTTCAATTTACCTTGTATGTGTTACTTTTGGAGGACAGATGCTTGTTCTGTTGCCTAGGAGGTAGCTTATCAGCCTGCTTAAACAGGAGTCTTGATGTAAATGGATAGAACTATGATGATATGTTTAGTGGAGTCATTGACTGTTTACCATATAACTATAAGATATCTCAAATTCTCTTACACCTTCCGTCAATGCCATGATTAGCTAAAATTAGGTGGTCTGGTGCTCCCCTCCCTCAAATTTTATTAACAGCTGCTTTGGATTATTTTTTATTTAATGTTTCTTACATAGCAAGTTGTTGTAACCTACTTAGATGAGATTGCAACAAGAAGCAAGCCCTTGAAGAGCATGTAGCAAAACAGAGGAACATGTTAATAAAAGAAAAAAAAGGAACGTGTTAGTCATTAAATGAAAAAATTGGTCCATTCCCTCATCAATATTTCGTAAGCAAAGTGAGCAGGATCTTTCTTATAAACCCTGCTCATTGCATACTCTGATCGATTGCCGCACAAATAACATTAACTGCTGCTGCTGACTATAGTGATCTTAGGTGTGATTAATGGTTGGGAAGGCCAAAACTGCACCTTATGGGAGTTTGCCATAGTTCCTGCACCTGTTTCTGATCATCCCTGATGCAGCAAGACGTCCCTGACTATAGTGATAAATTGTTACCTGAACTTGGATCTGTAACTTGTGCTCCAATTATTCATGTTGCTCTTAGTCTTCTTTAAAATTTATTAAAACTACTCAGAGAAAAATTCATTTTTTGATCATGTTTTACTTAATTTGATCATCACATGCTTATGGAATCTTTTGGATTGCATGTGCAACTATTAGAAATCAGAAAACCTTCCATATATAGTTTCTTATCTCAATAGCTTTTACCTTCTTTTATTTTTCACATCAGGCTCTAAAATATGAAAAATGGTTTGAACTGGTTAAGAAACTGACTTAACCAGGCTCTAAAATATGATAACTGACTTAATCATTTATTAGGCATAAGTGGGCAGGTCTGGTCAATTTGGGCCTTCTTAGCATGTGAGACCTACCCTTATTGGAGGATAGCTCTTGTTCGACAACATTGGTAGGAATAAAGCCAAAAGTGCCAACATGAGTCTAAATCGCTTGAAGTCTGACTTTGAGTTATTTGAGTTTTGAAGAGTATATATTTCTATATTTGAAGCAACTGAAAAGAGCCAACATGAGTCTATCTTTTTTTACAAAATTTATCTGAATTACCCTGATTTTAGTGGACATTCAATGAGTTCTAAGAGGCTGTAATGCAGTAGCTTAATTGATCATACACATCTCTTCAATAACTGTACTTATTCTGTTGGTTAGTGTTGTTGGAATCGTGTCATAGTTCCTCATTAGGGGGGATTTTTGAGTCTTGACCACTTTATGTCAGGAATTTGAAAGATTTTACTTGAGAGGTGCTGTCAAGTAGTTTATTTTTTCATCGACACCTTTTTTAATTTGTAGTAATAATTGTACTAGTTGAATTTGTGTTACTGAGTGGAATACCATTTTTTTCTTGTGTATGATGTATCTTTTTAATCATATTTTGTGCAATAGTAATCGTTTTGGAACCAATTACCTAATTCAGCAGACTCATCTCTTATTTATTGCATATCGGGGTTTACCCATCTATGCATGCTGTTGCCACTGCACAAAAGTAGCTAGTTCTTTTCATTGGGGCAAAATGTCAAAAAGCTATTTGGTGATTATTTTTTCAGTTACAAGAACTTGAAATTGATGTGTCATTTCATGCTGGTGTTTGAATTGACTCGTTTCTAGATATTTTCAAATAATCTGTTGGTATTAGTTAAATATATAAAATATATTGTATGCAATCATATTTTTGCTCTCTGTGGTCATTCTTTAAATTTTTAAGCATGATATTTCTTATTGTTATGTTGAACTTTTTAGTCATACATTGGTACTCTCTAGACCTAACACTAGCATGAGCTGTGTGCACTAGTTCACTTTTCTTTATTTCTTATGTTTATGTTTCTCGTCTATGAGGTTATTTTAATATGGTGAAGCAAGTTAGGTACATGATTGATCTAGCCTTGCTCTTTTTGGCAAACCTGTAATTAATTGTCTCCAACATCATAACTGTTCTACATATTCTCGTTGTGGAATTGTAATCCTTGATGTTGTTTGTGTTGTTTATGTTGATTGATATCTTAGGTTGGTACTGTTGATGCACTTGCCTTCTTTCTACTGGGCGTTGTAAGCCGTTTTGCAAAGGCCTTATATGTATCAAAAAATATGATTAGTGGTGCTGCTGGAAGCTCTGTAGCCATCGAGCAGCCTATTTGTGGTTTGACTGAGTTCTTGATTATTGTTTTAGATGACAAGGCAAATCTTCACTCCCTTGAGATGCCTGTAAATGATATTGGATCACTTTCACCCATGGAAAATAAATCTACCCAATCTGTCCTAGAGGCTCTTCGTAGTTTACCTTTAAATGGTCATGTTCAGTCAGCAAATATGATTGGAGATTCTTTTAATCAAGCTATCAACGATGATCATAAACGAAAGATAGTTGATCATAGCAATGGCAAAAGAAATTTATTCGTACATCGTTCCAAGGAGTGGATTGATGAAACTTCTTCTAATGTTGATAAATTAATGTCTGCTGCATTTCCACATGTATGTATTATCATCCTCCCTATTATTTGTTTATTTTGTTGTTTTCTTCGAGGTTTCATTGGTAATGGGATCCATTCGTCTCGCCTGTGACAATAAAGTGGTTCATTGTCATTTTCAGCTTTGTATTCATTCTGCAGAAAAGGTCAGAAAAGCACTTGTAGATGGCATACAGGGGCTTCTGTTGAATTGCAGATGCACTTTGCAAAGAAGCAAATTAATGCTTTTGGTGAGTATACTGTCTTAGGTTCAGTTGTTGTGTGTGATCTATTATTATGGAGCAGAGGCATAATGGTTTCTCTCAACTAAAACTTTTCTTATTATGACTTGGTTCAGTATTGACTTTTAATTCTTATATATATATTATTAATTTCCTAGATTGATTATTTTGAAAATCTAACTGCTGTCCTTTCTTTTGTGGCTGTTTTATGAATGCTTAAACTGTACAATGTCATGAATTATATTGTTGTTAATAGTCATAACGAGTAAAATTCGGTGGTTCAATTTTAACATTTTATTTGATGATCTTGTTCTATTCTTCTCTTGGATCCTTAATTATGTTAGCACTGCCATTAAACTTATGTGCAATCATGTTAACTTTTATGGTTCATAATTTCGTTTAAGTGATAGTTTAGTTGACAGTAGCATTAGAATAATAGTATGTGCAGGTTTGTCTCCTGTTAACTTTGTTATGCTACTCCTGCATTATATTATCACTGCCATTAAACTTACGTGCAATAATGTTAACTTTTATGGTTCATAATTTCATTTAAGTTATAGTTTAGTTGACAGGAGCATTAGAATAATAGTATGTGCAGGTTTGTCTCCTGTTGACATGGCAGTTTGGGTTCAATTTTATTGCTAATTCCTTTTCTTGTATGTAATAATTGCAGGAGTGTTTGTGTGTGCTCGGTATGGTACGGTATACCGAGCGGTACACCCAGGTGTACAGTGCACTCGGACCGGTAACAGGCGGTCCGCATACCGACAACCTGTCGGACCGGTACGTACCGCCCATACCGGGTGGTACGGTTCGGTACGGCAGACCCTGGATTGCACATCCTAAAATTTGGTGTATATGTTTGAACTTTTCTCATGCGTGTTTAGCAATTTGTTCTCATCTGTTTTCTACTGCATGGATGGATTTATTTGCTTGATATCTGCTGATTTATTTTGTTTCATTCTTTCCTTTGATTTACTGCTGGGGTTTTAAAATGGTGTCTCTAACCATTTTAGGTGTATTTCTTCTTAAAATTATATATAAGATGAGTAATTTGAAAAATCAATTTATTTATCATTTACTGCCAATACTCTTTTCTTCCTCTAAATTGGTTTGGTCAATTGCCACAGATGCGAGCTGTATCCTCAGAGTTAGAGGTCCTTGGTAGGCATCAACACCCAAATTTAACTATTCCTTTTCTAAAGGTAAAAACATTTCTTTTCCAGTCTTCATTTTTTTATCTTTTTAAATTTCAGCTCTTCTACACATGGACATAGAATTAAGTTCTAGGTTTCACTAACGAGTGACCATGTTACATGAATTGTGCCCTGATTTATTTTAGACTAGTTTCTACAGCATCTTGCTGTCACATATCCTTGTTCTTATCTGATGATGGAATTCATTTGATATGTGTATCTGTATCTTTGACATAAACATATATGATTATCCTGCTTGACAAAATAAATTTCAATCTGCATAAAGCTGATGTCAACATTTTGGCAGGTTCAAAGATTTTAGGTGTATATAGGTACAAACTAAAATTTATTGGACCTGTATAATGTATATCATTCTATCCCTTGTTATATCAAGAAGGACTATGGTTGGCATTCCAAAGTATTTAGAATTGTGGTTAACTCTTCTTGTATCAGAGTTATGTTTCCTTTTTGTTTTATGTTTAATATAATGAATATAAATCTCTTTTGCTTGGAGAAAAAAAATCTTTTTTTTTTTTATCTTGTTCTATTATTATATTCTTCTTTCTTGTTTTATCTTGTTCTATTATTTCATCTTAATCCTAAAGTTTGAAGATGTTACAAGCAGATTTTCTTATTTGTATTTTGAGCTTGCTGATTGTTAACATTCTTGTGTCTAGGCTGTGGGTGAAATTGCAAAGGCATCACAAACTGAAGCATCTTCTTTGCCAGATCAGACTGAAATATTTAGTGCACACGTCAGCTCCAAGATTCTTATGATGCAAAAATGGATTAATGAGAATCATGTGGATAGTAGCTCCTTCTCCATGTGTACCAAATCCCAGGCTTAGGTAATTCTGATTTGTACTATAAGGATTCTGGTCTTCTGTTTCAGCTTTCATTAGTACTGTTGAATGATTGGCACATGACCATGAAATCTGCCAAATTATGTTTCATTGAATTTTGTGAGTATTAATTTAAGAAATTGCTTTTATTTGTAAAATTGTACTCTATTAATTTAAGAATTTTGTGAGTATTAATTTTGTGATTAGGCAATGATTTTACTGTATATTGCTTTTATTTGTAAAATTGTACTAAAAATTCCTACATTACTGTGATCTTCGCCCAGACAGATATCTCATATTTCAAATTGTACTATTTAGTATATCTGATATCATGATGAAATATGACTAAGAGTGTAGAAGTTTAGTTGCTTTCACATGTGATTGCCATATTTAACTAACAAACTAAGCACTTTGATCATAAAATTTTATACACTCCCCCAGTGAAAGAACACTTTTCTAAAAACAAAGAATTAGTTCTCTTTGAAGATGTGAAAGTGGAGACAGATTAAATAGTTATCTTCTGTGGTTTAGCAGGCTTCCAGTGCTATTTTTTTCTCATTTCTTTGTTTCAATTGGTATATTGTTATTATGATATTTTTAATCTAGTGTTTGAATATTTTATGTAGTCTTTCAAGGTTCTCTTTGTTCAATGCAAGTGCTATTTGGAATAATTTCCCATTGCCTTTTTGTTCTAATTTGACAACCAGAAATTGGATCTGTCAATTTTGATGATGTTAGTCTTCACTTGGAATATTGGGAGGAATTATTGTTTAAGTTTAATGAGATGAAAAGATACAGAAGAATTGTTGGATCTCTTGTTGGATCATGCTTAAAAGCTGCATCACCACTTGTTTCTTCACAGAAAGAATCAGCTTGTCTGGTGTCTCTGGACATTTATTGAGGTACTTGCTTGATATGTTTGTTGATAAAACATTTTTGGCCAAATGAATCTCTTTCTAATTCTCATTCTGCTGTTGCAAATACTGTTTGGTGTTTAATTGTCAGAAGGCAGCTCAATCCACAGGGGCACCCATTAATGCAGGTCTGGGAAGGGTCAATTATGCAGTTCTTTCTTTCAGTCAGAGAGAATTAAATTTAGTCTTTCTCAATTTAAGTTTCTACTATATAAAGGGAAAACACAAGTTAAGCTCAGCCATTTCAGTATTTATTGTGATGTGAGGAAACCTCTTAGTTACCTGTGTTTAAAGTGAAACCTTACAAGTGACTTAAAAGAAAAAAAAATCTGGATTGAAAATAAGTAAAGAACAAAGGACAGCACATGTTGCTTCACAAGTAGGATACCTTTTCATGTTGATGACCCTTTTCGTTTGTTTAGCATTTCTTTGTTTGATAGCAGTATTTTCATACTAATGGGGCTATGTAATTTTAGTGGAAAATTAATTGATTACTTATTCATAAACGGCAACTTGGATTTCTGAAATTTTTTGACGTAAGGATACTTGGGTAGATGGCTTACCTTTATGTACCTATCAGATACCTTATTCATTAGATAATTTTTTGGTACAAGTGATCTGTGCTTAGTCTGTGAATTCAAAATTTTTTACTACCATTCATACGCATTATGCTTTTCATGGAGTGTATTTTGCAAATGGTTCTTCTTACGAATGACAAGCTATTAATGATGGATAGAATGATTACTGGCTACATAATGTAGTTTGCTTGTCATTTGCAAGGTTATAAAGTTGGACAAATTTTGAAGTCTATGTTTACCTAAAATCCAATGATTACAAACTAGAAATTATTTAAGCAATAGGAACAGGTACATTGCCATGCAGATTTTTGATTATGTAGGTCCAAATGAAGGTTTTTTAAAGCTTTATTTTCATTTGGATCTGTTATTTTAGATGTTTATTTTTGAAGAAAGTTCATTTGGCTCTGCTATAATAGTTGTTTATTCTGTGACTTGTTCTGGATTATTGTAACAGGGACGCCATTGTTTTGCTAAGTGAAAGGCTTGCATTTACCGTCTCTTTGTTCTTTATATAACTATATGCTTGTCAAGGATTTTAAGATGTCGACCATTTGGAGATGTTACTGTATTATTTCCCTAAATCATGTGTTTCATTGTGGCTTTCAGTTTCTAGAAGTGCCACTTTTATTGGGGTAGCAACCATGAAAAGTCAGAACATGTTCTGAATGTTGTTATATGGTTTAATTGGGAAAATGAACTGTTCTGAGTATGATTTCAGTTTGTCATAATTTCCTTGGTGTAGGATACTTTGGGTCATGGGTACAATCCAAGCATGGGCCATGCTGCTTGGTTTTTGGTATGTGGGGGTAGGGATAATGTTGACTTTTTTGGATTAGTTCCTGGTAGTTCTGTTGCTTTTCGGTCGTGTTCACTTAGTAAGTTGGGGTAAGACGTCTTGATCTTTTCACATCATTTAACTAAATGCTTTTTTTCCCAAAAAAAGGTAAGAGACATGAAAACTTGATGGTTCTTAATTTTTGTTGATTTAACCCTTTTTTTAATGGATTTGAAGTGTAATATATCATATGAATTCTATTTTTGCTTAGGTGTTCTCTATTTATAAAGCCGAATAAAACTTTGAGATTGGATTTTTAATTTGTTTATCTTGTCGTGTATGATGGCAACCTGGAAAATACAGTGTTGCAAAACAGATCAACAACCTGCATCATAATTTCAAGTAGTATGATCAAAGTAAATAGACAGCAACTTCTTGTTGGTTTGTCTTTTTCTCAACACTCCTTTTCTCTTTCTGGAATAATGTTGTATTTTGCAGAGAACAAAATTTCACATTTATTCCCAAGGTCTCAGTCCGTTGTCTCATTACTTTTAAGCAAGTCATTTAGGACTATCAGTTTAGCAGATTCTTCCTGTAAATTGCTGCCCTAAAAAGGTGTTACTGGTTAGACTGTTGCAACAAAGCAAATGTTATTGGAAGTCTTGGTTTCTGTGCCAAAATCAGTTGATATGGTAGGAAATGTGAACCCTCTTCTCCATATTATTATTGGTTATGTTTGACAATTGTGTGTTGGTTTTGAACCATTGCATAATATGTTTTCTTTGTTCAACTAAATAAAATAATTAGATGTATACTTTTGTTAGGGGCTTGAGTGGTAAATATCTTATTGGAAAATAGTAAAACAAAATCTTTCTTGTTATTCTCCTTAGATTTCAGTTGTTTGTACTTTAGAGTAAGGCATTTTTTTGTAGGATGTTTCTGTATCTCTTGCAAAAGTGGAGGAAGCTTATAAGCACGAGAAACAAACCAAAGCAGCAATCTGGGAAGCAGTTCAGTTGCTATCACTAAATGATCTGAAAGATGGGATGGAGGCTGCAGATGACGAAGCTGACGAGAACAGAGTGCTTCCAGCAATGAACATAATCTGGCCTTATTTGATTCTTTGCCTTAAAAATAAGGTTTCAGTGGTATGATAGATTTTTTTTTTGCTAATTTAGTAAATCTCTTTGGTCTTTTTTCCGTTAACATTTAGCCTATTCTGCGACATCGTACTTTGCTCGATTGTCTGATTTATGCTGAAGCTTCATATATATTTCTCATGTCTTGGGAATGGGAATGGAGTGGTTGATAAGAAATTAAAAAAGAAAAGACAGAGGAGAATAATGATAATATTTAACAATGAGCTCAAGTACCATAGGATCAAACACATACTAGTCTTGAGTGTAGAGATAGACATTTTATCTAATCCTTCTTGCTTTATTTGATAATGAAGTTGTAACAATTGTTAATGCTTGGCAGCTCCAATAACACCATATTTTGTTTGATGTTTTAGTGGATTATGTATGGTTATGCATATAGGACAATAGGGGGGTTTGGAGCTTTAGGGCTTATGTAATGAGAGAGTTAAGAGGTAGGATAATTGGGGGAGAAATAAGATAGATATTAGGTGGATATCTTGGATTCACTCAAGTCTACCAAACTCACTTCATGGGAAGATTGTTGACATCACATCACACTGTATTGTGGTCACAAGAAATTAAATCAAGTTAGTACAATCATAGGATACATGCTCATAAAAACTAAAGTATTTTAAAAATGTTAAGAAATTAAATGGTTGTAATTATGTTTCAAAGTGTTTGACTTGTCATCAAATCAAAGCAGAACTCCAAAGACCTAGTGGTTTGTTGTAAATTTTTGATATTCCTGAATGGAAATGGTAATGTGTTTCTTTGGATTTTGTTTCAAGATTACCCAGAACCTCCAGAAAACATGATGTTATTTGAGTTATCATTGATTGGTTAACCAAACCTACACATTTCCTAGTGATCAATACGACTTATTCTCTTGATAGGCTTGCAGATTTATGTATGAATGAAATAGTAAGGCTTAATGGTGTTCCTAAAGAGATTCAATTGATGTGCAAAATTATATTGAGGTTTAGTGAAGACATCTGGTCCTCTTGAGGAATGAAGTAGGAAAGTTGTGAAGTCGAAATTTTAAATTTTCGAGGATGGCTTATTGAGATTTGGGATTGAGTGTGTGTTCGAACCGACCCAAATTATGATTTGAATATTATGATAAAAGGGCATGACTTAATGATATTGATGGCCTCTATCTATGTGCAATCTGATCTCTTTCAACAAATTTAGAAACGGTATATAAGGGATACACATTTAATCTACTTGAGGATTGAACTAGAAAATTCATTGAAGTCGAATTTTTAAATTTTGAACGATGGCATTTTGTGTTTTGGGAAAGAGTATGTGTTCTAAATGAACAAATTATCAATAACCAAATCCTGAAGCAAGGTCATAATTCAAAGTATGTGATAATTTGGATTAGATTGTTGATTACATTTTAATTTTATGGAGTTTTAGACAAGGTCACACTTCTTGTGTATAATAATTTGGGGGGCTTGTCAAAGGTGGTATCAGAGCATGATTTAAGAATTACTAAGATATTTGATTCATTTTATGTGCAAAATTATATTGAGGTTTAGTAAAGACATCCGGTCTTCATGAGGAATGAAGTAGGAAAGGTAC